TACGTTAATTATTGTTATTTTTTTATATTGCGTTACCACTACATAAAATATTATTGAAACAATATAAAATATTGCATATCATTAAAATGTCAAATCGTCTCATACAAATATTTACCAGGTAAAAGTAAATTGATAAAATTACTCAACTTGCATCAATTGCATATCCGATAAAACCTTGTTAAAAGATAAAGGTACATATATTTATACATATGTTAAATATGCACACACACACACACATACACACACAAATATATATATAATATATATCTATAAATAGCTATAAAAATAAAATATTGTGTACAAGACAATATGTGCTATGTGTGGTTGTGGTACACTCAAAAACTACTCGACTGATTTTGTCCTAGCAAAATCGGGTAATACAGGTAGTAAAGTAGTATACATAATATAATATTATATATTATATAATAATACAATTGTTGAGTTCACTAAAATAAATAAAATAATCGTTTATGAATCTTGAAAGTCTGCTACATGAAAAATATCCATATCGAGGGTAATTTATCAGTTATTTCCTTTACTTATTTACGCTTAACGGAATTTTACAATACAGCATAACCATTATTATTAAGAATAAGAAATTATTACAAATTAAAATTAACAACTGGCCATTATACATAGTACTCTACAGTTTAAGATGCTCCATGTAATACATCTTTTACACAATATCTATGAATGATCATTTTCGTCTATTTTACTAAACAGATAGTAATTCAGTAATTGTATGCGCTTTATAAACAAACAATTTGTTCACAATATTAAACATAATTTTTTATGGAATAGATCGATGTTTTTCGATACCATAAAATCTCTTCACGACATCTATTTATTGCTATTACGTATTACAGAAAACGAAAACTATATTATTAATTACTATATTTAGTACATATTTTACATATTATATTACTAAAACTAGAATTATGGCCTCTCATTTCTAAAATATTTTCTATACGAAATTGTACATAATAATTCATAATACAATTTCGTCTCTGTAGCATATAATTATATTAAAATTATCTGATAAGATCGTTTAATTCGGCACGAAAATCGGTTCAGTTGATTTATAAAGAAAAAAAAATATTTTATAAAAAATTTGAAAGTATTTGAAAGCATTTATAAATACTTTTTTTTACTCAGTATTCAAATACGTATTTTAAATTTTTAAGTACTTTTCAAAATGAGAAACTATATCTGTACCCGAATATCTACTTGTATAGGTATCTTTTGCAAGACTGCCAATGTAATGAATATGAATGATTTTTTTTCATCACATTTGACAACATTTTGAAAATCTCTATGTTCATTTGTTTTATCATATAAAGTTAACATGATTGAGGGGCCTCTCATTAAATTTCCTCTGGCCCGAAAAACTTCGGGATGGCTCTGAACAAACAGCTAATGCAGTAGAACCTCGTTTGTAGCGACATGCACTGCTAACATCCATACAATAACGACAAGGGTCAAGAAGGTATATTACAATTTTTATATTAAGCACGCGAGAATATCACGGGACACGGCTACGACATCAAACTATAAATTATTTATATTATAACTGCAAATTGCATAAAATAATGAAGTCTCTTACCACATTATACCCAGTGGAAACCGCCAAGGTGTAGGTATGTATATTATTCTACTTAATATTATAATAATAGGTACACATGTGTGACGCGTATCACCTACGAATATGTAGGAACGTGCATAAAAATTATGCTTTTATTCTCATCTTAATAGTGTTATAAATTTTAAAAATATTGTAAAAATAGTGTACGTCTCAACCGTGTCAATTCCATTCTGGTATTATTTCTCGGTCGCGGTATCTACACCTTATAATAGAATTATTTTGTAATATCTTATAATACACAATATATCGACGTGCGTATAATATCATTTTTTAGTTGAAAGAAGAAACAAAGAACTAAAAAACACACCCAAACAGTACACTGTTGACACTTGAATATATTTAAGTACTTGGAAGAATTATAAATTATATGGGGCCCTTGCGGCCTTGCGTAAAATGTGGAGCGAATCACCATCCTAAATTCGTATGTTATACGTACGACGGTGAATGGTGATACAATAATTGATACCAAATGCAAATTTTTTTTATGCGATTACTAGGCACGTAATTATTAAAATCTTAACGAAACATTCCACAACTTGCACGCATTTGGTGTAGGCTTATAATTTAAATCAAAGATTAGTACCTAAGAAGAGGTCAGTGATATGTATTCCCGACAATGCCCGCGTATCACAAATTAAATTTATATTTCCAACTGCAATAGTTAGTCCGTAATTAGCATGTATTTGCACAACTGATCCTCAAAATTTAACCTTACCTGTAGTTGGCACCATAAATAGAAATATTTGGATGGGCTATGGGCTCATGTAAGCTCCGTCACAAGCACCTTTTTTTAGTGTAAACTCTGAAAGCAAAAAAAAACCCGGTACAATTGGGTTCATGTTAACTCCGCCGTAGTAAAGAAAATCAAGTCACAGTATAAAATTGATTTTTATCGTGTATATTATTATTAAAAAAAAAATTATAATGTTTATAGTAATAATCTTCCACATTAAATAATAGTTAAGAGTAACATCCCAAAAAATATACAAAACTAAATAAAAAAAAATTTGTCATAATAAAAAGTTATTATAATCATAAAATATGTACCTACTACCTATAGCCACCTAGCTGGTATGTTATGCTATACTATTTTGGGCTGTGAATTAAAATTATTTGATAAAATTTATAGATGTTCTAACTACTAAGTCTAAAAAAAATCCATTATTATAATTATTTATAGTATTCTCTGACACTATTATTTTTTTATCATTTTGAATTTTTGAGCTTATTTAGTTGAGATACATTATTAAGTTTTACATATGAAAGCCCTTAACACTGCAGACTACAACACGGTTGAGCATAAAACACATTTTTTACGACACAATTCAGCAAATTATCAAAGGATATTTAAATACAAAAGAAAATCTACACGACTGAGCATAAAAAACCCTGTGATGTTGCCACATTCAATTTTGAACATATTATACAAAAAACATAGTAAGAGTTAAAAAATAACATTATTTCATAGTCAAATGTCATAGATCTACCAATTATTTACCTATTTTATAACAATAATAAGTAGGTAATATAAATAAGAGTGAAAGTATTCACACTTGCTGGTTTGAAATTTATAATAATAATAAATTGAAATCTAGTTCCAGGTTAGCTTAAATATAATACAGTTGAGATTTCGTATTCTTAAGATTTGAATATTGGTCGAAAGCTTTTATACAAAATTCTAGTTTTTCCATAACATTCTCGATGAAGCTGGGCTCGTCTCACAGCGCGTGCCTTGTTTTACACTTTTACTTACATTAGACCTTTTCATTGCCTTTTTATTTAACTGGTATTCTGGCGGAGTTTACAACCGCCCATTTGAACTTATCACATTTTTCCTGCACCATTATTAGGCAGTATAAGCACGTATTTGCGCGACTTAATCCATAATTTACTCGTCCATCCCCATAAAATCAAAACATTTATCCTGCAAGTACTTATTAACGACGTTCTGAATATCGGAATTGAAAAAATTGCAATAAATGCAATTTATGATGTGGGTGGAGCTATATTGCTGATTTCGCTACAGACACCGTCCTTAGTACTCCTTTCTAGTTTTTGACTTAGGTCTCTATAAAATGCATGCGAATTCTTGTCAGTTACGTGCTAAATAATTGCATACAAAACTACACATTGTTCGTTGCGGTGGGGTTGGGACAAAGAAACTAAATCAAAAATTGCCGGCTAGACGTGCACGACATAAAAAATAATGTTTTACATAATATTTTTTCAAACTGACGAAAAAAACATTTAGAAAACTTTTATACTTCTATTCTTTATCGTATATAATATTATGTTTACAAAAATACATTTTTTACACACCAGCCCTATATTATAGCATCATGCAAAATGCAGAATTTAGATTGTCCATTGTCGATTTTTTAACAAATCGAAACACTAAAATAAATAAAATATATCGTTTTAAAACTTTTAAATATAACAAAAAAAAAATAGGAAAAATTTTAACACAATATAATATCGACAGAGGTATCTAGTTTACAACATTATATTTTTCAACAAAGTGAACCCAAAATCCATAAAATAGATTTCCGCTAAAAGCTTTTAACGCATTAGTGAATATTATAGACAATAAATAGAGGAAAAATGTAATATTTATTTTTCTGATCCTCCACTATTGTCGCCGTGAGCACACAATCGAAATTGAGTTTGTTCCGTTTTATTAGTGCTGCGAAGGCGAGCGTATTATATTTATAGTGTCTGCACACAATAACACGATATAGGTAGGTAGTATAATCGCGTCACGTCCATAACTAAACGATGAAATTACATCGATCGAATTTGTTGATCGACCATTAACGGCATTAAACGTATGCGGTTGACACCAATTTATTGTGTTGGGTTTACAACTATTATAATTATGAGGATATGTGGATATGGAGTTTTCAGTATCGTTTAGTTTAGATTGGGCTATAATAATAAAAGTAACGACTGCTCCTGGCACCAAATTTATTTTCATATATAACGCTTAATATAGTTGTAGTCTACAGTATCCATTAAAAATTTTTTTTAAAATTATGGGTATAATATAACTACATAACATGATAATATGTATTAAAATTACAGCATTTAATTTTTATTATGTAATCACGACGTTCGATTATTATTTCATGCAATATCCAAAACTTGTTTTCTTAAATTCTTGACGATACATATTGAGACAAACCAAAAATGTTCACCAACATTTTTAAAATTCTAATCCACTATTAAGTGGACATCTGACAAAGATTAGACTTTTACGGAAACGCTCAACCAAATATAATATTATAATAACGTAATAAAAAAATTAAAATCGCATAAATATATTAAATATTCTAATATTATATATACCTGTCACACACAGGTGTAATGAAGCACGGCGCATGTCCGAAGGTGGTCTCGTCATGTCTTCATGCGCGACTGCCAACTTCAACAACAACAACAACAACAACACGACAAACACAAACAACAACAATCACAACGGCGTCAGCAGGACGACGGCGGCCAGCGTGCCCAGGCGCAAGTTCAGCTTCCCGGCGGTGTTGCAGTCGCACAGTCTACAATCTGAACTGGGCGGAGTCGACTTTAGCGGCGGGCCATCGCTCACTGTGGCCACGGCCCGCCGGCGGTTCAGCAACGTCAGTGACGTCGTGTCCAGGAAACTGTCGCACACCATCGGCTGGCGGACGGCAGTGCCTACGGAGCAGATCGCGCGACAGGGCAAGGCGCTGTGTGTGCAGTACATCCGGTGGAAGCTGAAGCGGGCTGGCGCGTACACGAAAAAATGCGCAGGAGCTTTGCGCACGGCCAGCGCGGCCGCTAACCCTGCGGCTTCGGTGGACGGAAATGGCGGCGGTGGAAGTGGCGGCTACTTCATACCGCCACTTCAGGCTATGACGGCCGCGGCCGGGGCCGACCACATCGACAGTGTGCGCCGCGACGTCTTCCCCGCCGTGCTCCGGGTCGGGCTCCAGTTGGAGCGGCTCGACCCGAAACTGTACGCGGCCGGCACCGTGGCCACTGACACTGCGGCCACTACTGCTGCGTCAGTGGCCGGTGCCGCAGGCAACCCATCTGCGGCCGCTGTGATAACCGGCCCGGCCGCTCCGCCTCAACGTCTGTTCCAGCGGCACAGGCCCGTGTACAGGAGAAACACGGCCTCGGCTTCTGTTGTCCTGGTGTCCGTATCCCGGGAACTGTTCCGAGCCGGAGCCCAGGTCACGTGGGCCAAAGTCGTGTCTCTTGTGTGCGTGGCCGCTGGGCTTGCGGTCGACTGCGCACGCCGCGGCCGTGCCGATCAGCTGCCTGACCTGATCGAGGCCGTCGGCGAAGTAATCGAGGACGATCTGGCCGCTTGGATACACTACAACGGTGGATGGGTTAGTATAAAATATATGCACGAGAACGCGTCCATAATTCCATCCAATAAAAAAGCCAAATTCGATAAGCCCTTTTCACACAATAATAGTTAGTGATGTGCCATTATGAAAATTTATCAAGGATTATTATAATTTTCCCTATAAATTTCTAATTTATTTTCCTATAGATAAAAATTTGATAATTTAGTTCAATTCATTCTAATAACTTGATAAAACAAATAGTGCGATTACATTGTCTTAACGTTGAGATTAAATTTGAAATGTCAATTGACACACCTTTTTTATGCAGTCAATTTATTAATGATAAAAAAATATTATCAGTAAATATTTGATAAAATGTCTGTGTTTTGTGATTGGTTTCCAATATTATCTCTATACTGCAGGTAAACGGTGTAGAAAACCGGTCATGTTTTATTAACGAAAACTATATACTCGTTAGGGGGAGTCCAGTAAACTTTTTATAAACCACGCGGTTTTAGAAACTAGAATACAAGGTATCACTGCTGTAATTACTATCATATGAAGAAGACATAATGTTATATCCAACACTCAATATGATATCGCAGGCTATTAGCGATTTTTTTCTTTTTTTTGTACTGTACACTTTCTTATATCCCCCTTTTATCTCCTCCCCGCTGGCCACCACCTGTCGTGTACACTTATATTTTATACGTATAAGACACTTACTACCTAAGTGGAAACCTTGTAAATCATAATATAAATGTACATCAAAATTCGTATAAAATTAAGTTTTCCCATGTTTAAGTGCACAATATCATCAAGTAGAATATTATCAATATTTTTTATCTACATTTTTTTATTATTTAAGCCATTGCCCACGTCAAAACGGAATTTTAACAATTTTTAACATTCATGATTCATTTGTTCAAAACGGTAAGATGTAGGTACGCAATTCGAATCTAAATATAAACGTTATTATACCCTGTAAATGCGGGTACGTGTACAATGTTGTAGAACTTGCACAGTGTTTAGGTATTGCACTATTACACCTGTTTTCGAAAAATAGCACGTATGTAACATATATAGCTGTATGTAACAGTTACTCATATCGCGGCTAACTCATTAAATATTTTATAAAAACCGTTTTTATTTTCTGTAATTCTTTGCAAATATTTTTTCATAAACTTTATTAGGTATATCTACAATCATTTAGTAACGACTTGCTAAAAAGTATATAAATATAAATTCAAATTCAAATACAGATTCAAACAGCACATATTTTTGGAAGTACAGACAATTTTAGCATTAAAAAAACGTTATTTTAAGCTCTTGCAAAAATTATCATACAAGCTCTTATTTTTGTATGATATGAATTGAAAGAAAAGAATAAAAAATACTATCCTTTTCTCATAATTACCAACTGCAACTTACACTTAAATACATTGTGTATTACAATTTACAGTATACATTCTGTATAATGTATAGTGCCTAAACAAATATTATAATCGATTTTATTTTTAATCATTTATAGCACACATTTTTCACACACCAAATATTATAGCAAAAATTCAATTTTAACTTTCAGATTATTGTTTTTTACGAAGAAGTCTCTTTTATTTTATAATCTTCGTGTAGCCATGACTGAAATCTTTGCTATGTCAGCTATATATCCGTCAATTATAATATATATCATTACAATATTGTTGGAATATTAACTATAATTAACTCAAGTTGCCCAACGTTATTTGGCGTAACAGAGTTAACTCCGCACTACCATTTAGTATCGCCGAGTTATTGATCCGGGTTAACTCTTTTGAACTGAAAAAATAAATAGGTTATTTTGGGAGCAGAACGTTCGAGCACATTAATCCAAAGTCAACAAGTTTGGTTAGAAATAGACATAATGTTCGGGGAAATAGAATAAAAGATATCTTATGATTTTACCTGGTAAATCAAAAATAGTAAGTTTGGGTACACATATGTAATAGGGCACGTTTTGGTGTACATCAAAATATCTACGCGTAATCTATAATAGGGGTAGTATTTTCAGTTGTATACAAGCAAATTGTTTTACCTTAATGGAAATTCAAAAGGAAACTTTTTTATAGATATCCACTATTCAGAGAAATGTTTAAATATTATAATAAAAGAGGATTCAGATAATGTTGAAAATATTTTTAAAAAATTGTAATAAGTTTAAAGCTGACATTCTGACAATGTTATAGTAAAATATTTATATGATATCGAATAACGTATTGTCCAAAAAAATTAATCTAGATAAATAAACAAAATACAATTATAATAGATTTAATATTTTTTTTAATGAATTATAAATAACCTAATAATGTTCTAAAATAATTAAACAATATGTAATAGGTAATGAAAATATTTTTAAGATTAAAAATTAAAATTGAAAAAAATGTGTACCTATACGTTGGTATCCAGATGTGGTATTATTTAAAAAATACAATGTACCCAAACAATATACAATGTATATTCATTTTTTGGTCTTCAAGAAATGTTAACCCAAATGTGCTTCGAAATCGTTCTCCCAAATCCCTGGTAAAAATATCGTATTGTGCCCAAACTTGTTACGGCCCTTAGTTCAAGTCCACTGATAAAGATTCTTATCTCACGACGATATAAAAAACCAAAATTAAGTGCTAATTTTGCTACTTTTAATTTATTATCAATACAAAAATATTGGTAAGAATACATTGTTCGGTCATTCGGAGTAATCTATTTTGGAGTAGGCACATTTTATAATATAGAGTAAACTTTACTCTAACGTTCTCTATTCTAACTTATAATTTTCGTAACAGGTATTATACCGGCTTCATAATTTTCTAGAATGAAAAATAGTTTTTTGTTTGGTCATAGGAGTGTAAACTACGATACATTATACATTTATACCTAAGTTGTTATTAACAAGTCGGAAGTCTTAACTTATAAGCCACACATAACTATTAAAATACCATTATGGTATTAGCTTCGTACAAAATAATATGTTTTATGATGTGCAACATTGCACAGATGTTAAAACTGTTTCCAGTCCGAATATTAATAGGTACCTAAATGGCTAAATAATTGTTACAATATATTTTTTAATTTCCACAGTAACATCGCCATGTCTAATTCGCAATAACTCTGTATACTATATATAGGTACCTGGTACATAGATATTAATAACATATTAATTCGAAAATTTGCGAAAATTTGTACGAAAAAAAATATATAATTTTATTACCCGTATTACAAGTAAATTATTAGTATGTAATTAGTAATATTATTGGATATTACACATGATGTTCATACGCCCGTGTACTTACTTCCGGGAGAAAATTAATCGACGGCATTGGACAGCACGAGTGTACCCGTGCTATATAGGTATGCACTTGCTATGTAGATTGTTTAGGTATGACTATCTACCTCCATAAAACCACTGGCTAATGATGCTGGTCTCTTTGTTGTTATTATTATTATTATTATTCATTATTACCATTATTAATTATTATTACCGATGATTACGATATTTATAAAAGAACATATTATATATTATTATATTAACCTTACACACCGCGACTGTTGGTCGTATTTATTATAGTACATAATTTGTTCCATACACATAAATACATAATACTGTACTGTCTGTGGTAAAGTTGTTTGTTAGGTACCAGGTACCTACACTTACAAAATTACAACTTCGGTACACGGTACACCTGTCGCCCAATCCGAGCGTTATTCATCGGTCGTTTATAAATAAGCTACACCTAAAACTGAAAATATTACATTTCACATATCTCAGACAGTCAGACTTGTTACCATAAAAATATCCATTAAAATATGCGGGAATATTATATAAATGTATCAGAGTAATTAATTTCACTTGTACTCAAATACCTTCAAATATATAATAAGTAGGTATTTTGAAATGTTGATAAATTTGCATTGGCGACAGAGGCGCAGTAAGTGAGGCTAAGTGGGCTATAGCCCCTCCCCAGTTGACAGTGTTTATTTTAGCAATTATAGCCGTTAATTTCTTGACAAATACATTATAATAAAAATAATTAAATATTGTGTAGGTTACGCGATATGTCACTTATCAGTAATCCTTATCATAACTGAAATCACAGAATAACCAGAATTGCCACTTCGCCCCAAAATACAATGAATCTGTGCTTTTTACATTATCAGGATAATATGATTAGTTAATCACGAACGTGATTAATACACTTTTGGTACTGTACTTCGGTAATACGAGCCTACCTTAAACAAGTACCTTTTAACCTATCTGAAGAGTATATTTCTGTTATTAAAGCTATACCTACCTATTTTGATCTAATGAACAGCAACAATAACGAGATAGTACCTACATTTAATCTTTCCATTTTAAAATTTAAAATTATTTTGTTACATTTGTATAGTGAAACTTCTTAATGGATACCTCCAAATAGTGGACTTTTTTATAAACAAACTACAAACCAAATTCTCTGAATAGAGCACAAAATTACACGGGTCGAGTGTTTAGACTGTTTAGACTGTTTAGAGGTATCACTGTGCACATTGTATCTAATCATCATTCGTCAAGTAAGTTCTTTAGGATTATAGGAATAACTACTACATAAGTATTAAGCAGTGGCGTAGCCAGGGGGGAGGCTGAGGGGGCTGCAGCCCCCCCAAATGTTAATAAAATTTAAAGATTATTTTAATGGTCTATGGTATTCGATCAAAAACTAAACCACCGTTGTGTAAAAAATTGATCAGCCCCCCCCCCCCCGAAAAAAAATCCTGGCTACGCCACTGGTATTAAGTACTAGCAACGGAATACCTACCGATTTATTTTCGAATGAAGTTATACGAAACATTGAAACCACTATCACTGTCCACTAGTTATATTATTATTACATTTAGAGGAGAAAACTAATTCTTAATGGCCGGTTTTATATCCTTAAAAAAAAAATATAAACCATCTGGATATTTTTGAAATAATAATTTACAATATTATTACGCTACCCTGAAGTATTAGACATCATTTCGGTGGTGATATTACTGAGAAGATGGGTGGGCCATTCTAGGACTGAGAAAATACGTAGTAACTCGAATAACTATTAGGTATTATCATATGGTCATAGAAACACAAAACATTTATTATAAATAAAAATAATTTGTTTTTTAGATGCAGGTATAAAGTGTAAAGCACATAAAACAGTTCTCACTATCTACCTATGTATTCGTAAAAATTAAACACATTTTTAAAATGTTCCTCGTTCTAGGTATTTCATATTATAACAATTAAACCAATGTTATTGCTGAAGTAAATTCAAACACACTTTACAAATGTATACACATGCAAATAATATTAAATAGGTATAAAGATCATATTAATTGTACCGACGTGTTGTTCACAACATTGTCTACGTTCTGTAATGTCGATGTTTCTACCAACGACTCGATGACGGAAATTAAATACATTGAGACAATCAAGAAATATATATTATATACCTACGTCCTGTGAGCACGTGAAAATTACGTTTTCCGATCTTTTAGTTCTTAGAAAAAAGATTTGAAATAGTTGATATTTTGTTATATTTATAGAAATGTTTTTGAAGGAAATTTTTGAATTTATTAATATTTTTTAAATTGAGTATATTATGATTGAATGATAAATATAATATATTCTGAATAGGTACCTATACTGTAGGATTTAAATTTAAATAGGTATAAGTGTATGGCCAAGGCTCGAGGATTAAACTATAGGAATAATTTATATGGACACGATAATAAATGAGATTTTGAGGTACATCTACATTATGCTATTCATACTGATGTATTTTGAAGCACATCCTCTGATCCCTCCTCCTCCTCCTCCTCCTCCTCCTCTTCCACGGTTAACTTTTTATCACAGTCACATCATACGCATCGAGTACAATAAGTGTTCACTTCTATAATTAAAAATAACAACGCTGACACGTACCTTGGTTTTGAATTCTTTTCAGATGGGGCTCCAGTCGTACTGCAAACCGGTGGTCATCAACGTCGAAAATCCAGTGTCAACTCAAATCCTGTATCTAGTGTCATTGCTCATAGTTGTCATATTTTTCTTGTTGTTGTTGAGGTGGTTCGACTTCATATCCGTTTTCCGATGAACCTGCCAGCAGACGCCCCACAATATTATACAAATATATTTTTACTACCACAGTATACGTTATAATATTATATATATATATATATTTACGTTATATTATATACGTAGGCACATCTGCCTATTATATTATACATATAGATATATCGTCTGTTACTTTATGCACATATTATACTATGTATAATATTTATCTATTATCTATTATAGTATATTAATATATATGCAGCAAAATGTCTAAACAATATAATATGATATTAATATATTTTTTTTTATTATTACTGTTATTTTTTTACACGGCGTAAAATAAAACGTCGAATGTACAAATAGGTAAATCTTATAATACTATAATAATTTGTATTTATTTATCTATAAATAATAGGTATTTATCTTATCCTGAACCCCTTTGCATTGAATAATATGTTTATATGTGTATATTGACAAGGAATATAGGCATATAGCCATTGGCGTGGCGGAGGAGGTATAATCGAGAGGCTTCCACTTCTGAGTTTTTTAAGAGATTACGGTTGTGGGTGGATTGATAATGGCTAATTAGTAATAATTTAGTATTTTAGTAGGTATTAACTACATAGTTATAAATATGACCGTAATTCCCTTTATGGGGCCTCGGGTGGGTGGATAAGTGGGTGAATGATAGGTACAAAGACTGGCCTCTAAAAAACTCTAAAAGTTTGCCTGTTGCCACGCCACTATATAGAGCTGTTATCTGCTTGTATAGTTGTATACATAAGGTATGTTATGTGTGTACATTTACCACATAGGTTGTGACTGTAGTGTCCAGACACTAACTATATGAGATCAACGGAATGTTTCTTATTTACAATACATTGTTTTTAATTGATAATATAAAATAACTTTTAAAATTATTGCGACTTGTAAATGTACAATAAGTATAGAAATTTTATTTTAGGAAATTTTTATAAGAGAGGAGGCGTAGGCATATGAATACCATATGGAAATGATAAAAACATAATTGAGTAGAAAAATAAAACCGAAGATGTCTTTATGAACGTGCATTTTCCAAATTCACTACTGTAAAAACAAAACTACTGCTAATACTACATATCTCCAAGAAATACTTGAAGCTCTTATGTTTTTATTTATTGAACGGCGACTACCTACTTTTGAAACTGAATTACAATGACGTAATTAGAGAATTTAAAATTATGACACCATCAAACTGACGTTTTTCTTATTTTAGACTCTGAAAGGATGTATGAATGTATTGATTTTACAATGATGTGTTTCTTTGTAAACGATAATAATTTATTAGTCGAAATAATGCTTCGATTTTCGACTCAAGTATCAATTCTGTGTGAGAAAATGTATTAAATAAAAAAATTACCATTTATTTTATAGTTAAAAATTTATAAAATGTTCAAATATTATAGCTAAGGATTAAACATTTAAAACAAGGTTGCACGTAAGTAATTAATTTTGTAACAAAAAAATCTGAAAAATACTTAAACACAGTTTATTTTTATACTTATTTTAAGTTAAAATTTGTTCAAAATTACATATTTGAGCCGATAATGACGGTTTTAGTTATTTTGCTGTAATTTAAAAATATTATTCTTGGGTTCCTATACCTGAAAAGTTCAAAGTAGGTCATTCATTATATTTTAAATACATAATGACATTTTAAAATGCAATCTTTTCGACGAAAATGAATTTTACCTATTATATTAGTACTAATAAGTAATGACCATTATATAGTCTACTAAAATAAATTACTTTAATCACAATAATATCATAAAATATACCCACTTAGTAATATTGTAGGCTGATTATTCTTTGGGAAGAATCATTTTTCGTATACAATGGTTTTATGTATTTGAATTAAAATTTAACACATCCATTACAGTGACTCTCTAGACACCTAATGTATAGCATTAGTGATCGTAACCCACTTACTACTAACCGATTTTTATAATTTATTAAGGTGTGTATTTAAGGTGTACCTATATAAGTGCGTGCACACATACAACTGTGAAGTTATTTTGGTATTTGGTCATTTACATAGATAGTTGATAGGTAAACTTAACGCAGAGCCCAGGGAATGTTGCTTTTTGACTTCGCTATGTAGTTTGCAGTAACTATTTGTTGTAATGTATATCTTCAGGTACAACAACTTATCTAGGATAATCTAAATAACTTATAATTTTGTTTAAATGAACTTCATAAAATGTGTAGTTACTAAATGTTTACTCAACTATTTTTAAGAAGTTAACGTAACTATTGATTTAGTTGAAAAAATGTGTGAAATTATCTTCCCGGGGTCGGGTATGAACTGCATACGGTCATCAATTTTAACATTCCTAACCTCACACCTTCACTGTATACTGAACCACTACCTAACATTCCAATTATAAGGAAAACGTTGCCATTTAAACAATGAAGTTTTCCTAATTAATGGAAAATTAGGTAGTGGATCAGTAAAAGGAATAAGTTAGATTATTAATCCCATATTAAATGACCGTATACAGTTATCTGTTATTTGATTAAGTACCTACTAAGGTAAGGTAAAAGGTTAATTTGTATATAAATTGACTTCCTATGTACCGTTTAACCATACATGGTTTTAATCATCGTTAGCAATAAGACAATAAGAGAGTTTTTTGAGATTACATAAAAGACAATAGGTTTAATTGGTATAGTATTTTTAATGATAGTAATTTGCATCCCTAGGCAGTGGTTCCTAAGAGTAAAATACTATTGCCAGTGGCGTACATTCAAATTTGATCTGGGGGGGGGGTTTAAAAAAAATAACCAACACTAAAACTTTCCCTTTAAAAATACCCATTTTCTTAACAATCAAATACATTAAACGTATAAATATTAATAGGCAAAACAGCAAAACAAATACAAAGGTTTACATAACTCATGGCAGTAAAATATTATTTAATATGCACATAGTAAATACAGATAATTATATATATATATTATATTATTAATTATTTATAACAAAAATTCTAATCTCCTTTTTTTATTGGATAGTTCAACCAGCACTTCATCAGGAGTAATTAAATCATTTTTATTGATCGATAGCATAGCTAGACCATTAAGTCTTCCCTATCAAAATGAATTACAACATTAAATTAAGTTGAATCATTATAATCATTAATACTTTTATTTAAATTAAACATACCTACCTCAGAAGTAGAGTTGCGTAAGTAAGTTTTTATTCTCTTGAGAGTTGAGAATGTCCTTTCATTAGTGGCAGAAGAAACTGGTAAAGTTGATAATATTTTAAGTAACTTAAAAATATTTGGATACATGGCTTCATTACATATGTAAATAGCGTCCATTGCATTTTTTGGTTTATCCGTTTCTGATAAACATTTAAGTTTTCGTTGCCAAAGTTTGAACTCATTTTTGAATACCTCATCACAATTTCCAATATCTTCTAGATCTTCGATATACTGTTTTGTAAGAGATATAAAATCTTCTTCAAAACCACTTTCTTTGAATAAGGAATGGAAGCTTGTCAATGTACTTTGGTGATTTGTAAATCTTTCTTCCAATTCATTAATGAATTTGTCTATGTACGGAATAAATACTGATACACGATAAAATATTTCTGGATCGTTTGTTTGAATGTTACACCTGTTGGTTTGTCTTTTTGATATTCTTGGCATGTTTATCGCAATGTCAATTTTCTCAGCCAGTGATTTATATATTAATATGTACCTATGCAATTAACTGACTGTGTACGATCAAGTGTACATACTACATAATATAGTGTACATATTTTAAGTGTATATACGGCAACCATAATTTCGTTTTGAAATCTTTTTTCGTTGTTGGTAAAGTATAGTGTTTACTCAATAGTCATATTATTATGACGTTTGTTTGTCCGTGTATCATAAGAAATTCATCAATAATATCACATTTTTTTTTTTTTTTTTTGGTCCTGGGGGGGGTTTGAACCCGAACCCCCCCCCCCGTATGTACGCCACTGACTATTGCAACACGCCTACCTCGTTTATTTAAACTTAAGTGGCTGTCGATATTAATACCTAATTCTATCCAGTTAAGGAGTAGTTGATTAGCTATTTTCACTACACGAACCGATCTTGTGAACCGGGTTGTTGAATTGGTACAAATAAAGTTTTCTAAGTTATATTTTACAGGTCTTAGAAACTTATGACCTGCGTTCATAAACTAACGCAATTGAACACGACATAGCAACGTATACAAGGTTTATTAAATATTTGAATAGTAATAATATTATACAGTACACAATCACCTGCAGAGTAACCCTGTTCTTAAGGGTAGTATATTGAAGATCAAAGGAGTAGCGGAGTACGAGTTGAAACAATTAAATTATTATGTTTTACCTGTAAGGTAGGTTATTATACCTATAGCAAAACAATTTAATTATGTTACTTAAAAATGTAAAGGTGACTTTTGTCTCTATTTCACGATTCGAACTCGACTGATTGGATATGCCAATGATTTATATTATCCTACTCTTCCTGTGTTCTGTCTACCTAAGCAAATTCATCAAGCGTGACATAAATGACGCGTCAGTAATCTGTTATACTATCATAATTAATTTATACAATTATATCTATTAGGTACTGCAATATTAGGACTTAAAAGTTAAAACACCAAAAATAACCAAAAATCAAAATAGGTATACAGACAGCTACTATCACTTCTGTTTACCGCAATTAATAGTAAATAATAACAAAAGAAAAACCTAAATTAATCATACATAATCACATTTGTAGTTGTTGGCGGCTGGTCGGTGATAACGATACATACCCTCTTACATGTGTAATTGTTATTATTATTATTGGTTAAATTGTATAATCAATGATTTGAGATTTCAATTTTTAGTTTTAGTTTCTACAATCAAAATATCAAAATGATAATATTATAATAGTTTGCTTCTCGGTATGCCTATCCTGCACTATGATAATGCGCATGGGCGTAACTTGGAAATATATTAAGGGGGCAAATATATAATATATATATATATTATATATACCTACATATCAACTAGTCTATATAGTTAACCTTACATAATTTATTTGTAAATATATGTTAACATTACCTTTTGTTGTAGAATGTAGTTGTATATTAGTATAAG